ATTTGGGGCATTTATTTTGTATCCTGCAACATTACTGAAGTTATTAACCAGCTTTAGGAGTCTAAAGAGGGTATTTTTTAAAGGTGTTGGTAGGGTGTACGGAGACCACCAAGAGAAAGTATTGAGCCCAGGGCAAGCAACATGGGAAATAGCCCTCTTTGGGCTTGAACAGGCAGGTGGAGGGGCAGGTTGTTTTAATCTGAAGATTTCATCTAGATAGAGAGCCCCACTTATCAGGAGGTATGGCCATGGTGGAGGTTTATAACCTAACACCAGCGGCCTAACAGGAGAGTGAAGGTAGTAAAATCCCTATCTTCACTTTGCTCCCTTACGGTCAGGAGATGCCCATTGGTCACATCCAAATGGAATCCAGAGGGTGAGAGACCCCATGGAAATAGTCCACACAGGTCAAGTGGAGGAAAGATGTCAGATTGATGAGGAACAGAAGATAATCTTCATAGAAGTGTATTGAAAATAATTGCAAAGCCAGACTATTCAATGCCCTAGTAGAGAAAATGGTAAATCACTGATTTGAACAGCAAACCCAGACATCCATGACATAAGTCCAAAGCAGAGCACATTCCTTGGTTTATTTGGGGCCTTTCCTCTTCATTGCATTTTTGCAGGCACAGCTTTGAATTAGGTATGCGTAGCCCATCATCACTGCAGCTTCAGCACATCCAGAGCCAAATTACTTACCACCTCACACACATCTTCACCCCTGAACCTGTTCCTGTCTTCCTGTCCCTGTCTGAGGTCATTCACTGACTAAGGGCCCAAGACAAAGAGTCTGATTTCTCTCTCTTTCTTTCCCTTACCATATACCTAAAAATATCCAAGCTGTATCAATTCAACATCCTAATTTTAATTACAAATATATCCCTCTCCTGCTCACTACTTCTCATCTGGGCTGTTACAGCTGCTTTCTTCCTGATAGCCCTGCAGCCCATTCTCCACACCAGCCCCGTACTGATTTAGCTAATCCTCACATACGCAGGGTGACTATCATACTGGGAGGGCTGGGACAGTCCCATTTTTCACTTATTGTCACCATGTTGTCATTTGGATGATAAAATCTATGATCACTTTATAAGCCTAACTTCTCTTCTTAGTACCTCCTGGGGGTCACAGACACCTTAGCTTAATGGATTATTCAAGAACCCCTTTATCTCTACCTTCATTTCCCCCTACTTCTGAGCTTACTGTGCTGGTTCTAGTAACAGCAGTCACCTTCCAGTTCCCCAGATGGACCAAGCCTTTTCATGCTTTTGCGTTTTTGTACGTGATCTCCTCTTTACCTGGACTGCTCTTCCCTCTACTATCGCATGTACCACACTATTACCTATCTAAAATACGTAGAATAATAATGTATTGTGAACTTGAAATTTGCTAAGAGAGCAGATTTTATGTATTCTCACCACACACACACACACA